TGAACTCCACCCCCAAAAATCCCCCACCAAGCTTGTTGTCGGGGGAATTCTGGGAGTTGAAGTCCACCCATCTTAAAGTTGCTAAGGTTGAGAAACACTGCTTTGGGTGAACCTGCAACTCTTCTCAACCGGAAGCCTCTTCTGGACGTTTTGTGTAAAAATGAAAAAAAATGAATTTGTGATTTATGGTTTTGATGATTCGACGGGATAGATGATAGAAAAAAGAGTAATACGATGTACCATTAGAGAGAGAGGTTAAACTATATTTGTACGTTTAACTGCTGTGAAGAATATTGGAAGCCACTTCTGTATCTCTTGGTCTTCTATTTTTTCCTCACTTTTTTCTTTTCTTGCACTTTTTGTTTTTTCTTTGATTTCTTTCTTTTTTTCTTCTTCTCCCTTACTTTATATTAGTTTGTGTTAACTTTTAGCTTCTTGTTTAAAAGCTTTAATTAAAATTATATTAACAAAAAAAAAAAAGGAAAGGCCACAGTTGTTACAGTGAGCTACTCGCATGCTCGCTAACTCTCTTGACAAGAAAAGAAGCCATTTTTAGGGCAACTTGACCACAACTCACTGTAGCAGCTGGCACGGGTAAGCATCAGCCTTCCACTCTTTTGCATTCCCCAAATACTCTTCTCTCTCCTTGGCTGTGATTACTGTTTCCCATTCTATTTTCTTCATCTTCAGTTCAACACCCCCTTGGACCCTGTGCTATTTTGGCAGTCTCTCAAAAGTAATAGTTTGGGTATGGTGCAGTATCTCCAGACATTAAATTACTCTGCCAGCATGGAACCCTGTTTTTTTTTTTTTTAATGAAGGGACGCTTCATGCTTAACAAGACTTTTATTAGTTGCACTCACTCCACTCTCAGCCCATCTAGGCCCACAGTTCAACAGCAGCTCAGGACAACAACGCATGGACCCAACTCATGTGTTTATTTATTTATTTACAAGATATAAAAAAAACCCTTCATTCTAGAGCAGGGTTTCTCAACCTTGGCAATTGTAAGATGCTGGCTGGGGAATTCTGGGAGTTGAAGTCCATGTATCTTAAAGGTGCCAAGGTTGAGAGACCCTGCTCTAGAGGCTGTCTAGGTGATGCACTCGTTGGACTTGTCAATGCTGGGTCCTGCCTATTGCAGAAGTATTGGCTACTCCAATGTGCTCTATGTGGGGCTGCCCTTGAAGAGCATTTGGAAGCTTTAACTGGTGCAGAATGCAGCTGCACAGGTAGTAAATGGTGTTGGTTACTTGGCAGATGTAACACCACTACCCTGTGGGCTGCACTGGTTGGAGTGTGCTTCTGGCTGCAATTCAAGGTGCTGGTTGTCACCTTTAAAGCCCTTCATGGCTTGGGACTGGGTTACCTTTTCCCAGTTTCGACCCCTCTGATCCAGTCTGGCAGGATGGGAATGCTCTGGGTCCTGTCGGTCCAGGAATGCCTTTTCTGCCATAGCACCCCCCTATGGAATATTCTCTCTCCAGAGATTAGGATGACCCCAACCCTGCTGGCCTTTTGTAAGGCCCTAATGACCAGGTTCAACCTAAGAGACAGGTTGCTTTTACATGACCCACTGAACCACAGACTGCTCAGCTACATTTTAACCTAATCTATTGTGTAAGCAAGGGTTAATGCTCTCACTTCGATGTAGTAGCTTGTAAGTCATGTGGGAGCCCTTCTGCAGCATTTCTCTACAACTCATTTAAAGAGCTGTGTATGCTTCCAAGATCACAAGGGTAGAGGAGAAGCTTTCTAACAGCAGCTGTGAAATCATGGAGTAAGATGTTATTGCTTTAATGCACTGTAGAAGATGCTGCATTCACGCTGTCACATTAAGGTTGGGATGCAGTTGTGACCTATAAACACGGAATAGGGCCTGGTTACTTGAGGGAATGCCTGTCTCCCACAGTATCTGCCTGTCTGGACACAGCACGGTTGGCACGCTCCAAGTTCCTTTGATTAAACGATGTGCTCCCGACTCCGGAAACACAGCTTCTTTGTCACAGTGCGCACCCTCTGGAATGAGGTTCCCTTAGATCTGGGTGGTCCTCACCCTACTGGTGTTTCAGAGGGCCTTTAAGACCTGGCTGTTTGCTTGGGCCTTTGGCGAGGTGATTGAAGCCTCCTTCTGGGTTGTGTAGGTCTTCTTGTTGTTGCCTGTCTTTTGCCAACTTTTGTTCCTTGTTTTTACTATTGTACTGTCGTAATTTTTTCGGTGTTTTTTTCTTTGAGAACCGCCCAGAGTTGCTGAGAGTTGGGCAGTGTGCACATTAAATAAACACATAAATTTGAGGGACCACCTATCTCCTGAGGTTTCTGCCTGGCCATTAAGAGGCACCAGAGTGGGTACACTCCACGTCCCGATTAAACAGTGTCATCTTTCAGGATCCAAGAAGTGGGCCTTCTCTGTTGAGTGCCTGATCTCTGTAATGAGTGCCACCCCCACCGAGAGCTGGACAGTTCTCATCCTGATGGTGCTCAGAAAGGCTTTAGATCCCTGGTTGCTCTCCCAGGCCTTGGGGTAGGATGGATGGAAACCCCCTCCCCTTGTTAGAAATGATACCTTTTGTTTTATATTGATGTTGTTGTCTGGATGGCCATTGTGTTATTTCTCTTATTGTATTTTTATTTATGTTGCTGTATTGGTATTCTGTTTCTATTGTGAGCCGCCTAAATAGATATATAAATAAATTCTGAAGCTCCTCTTCTGACTCAAATCCAAAGTATTGCGCAGGCCTATCATGAACCCAAACCCTGTCTCTTGCTTTGGATTCAGTGGCTGGGTTCATACAACATGTTTAACTCTAGTTCCAAAAGAGGAGAAATATATAGGTCAGGGTTGAACCATTGGATTCTTGGTGTTCTCTGAGCTTCTTTTCCTGCAGATATCTTGTTACCAGGCTAGATAACATCATCAGTGCAGGAGGGAGTGGAATTTGTTATTTCTATATAGTAGTTTGCCCTGCCAGTCTTGATGGGGGTGTGATTTCTTACTTGATGGTCCCTTGATTATTGTTTTCTCTCTGATTGCTGTTTTTTGCTTATCTGGGTGTTGGTTGTTGGGAAGGGATGTTTTTTAGGCTGATTTCTTCCTAGGCTTTTGATTGTGTCTTTTAAATTGTATGTACATAGATCTTATTTCTATGTGTCTGCTGATGGCTGTTTTGTCAGAATGCCAGGCTGCCAGAAATTCCCTAGCAGTTGTGTTCTGTTGATTGTGTCATTAATTCATGTAACACACCATACCCAAACAAATAAGAACATTGTGGTTTAATGTGATGACCTGATTCATATAAAAGAGCTATGGCTTGGCTCCCACAATGCACCAAACTACCCAGCTTCATTTTAGTCTAGACTGTTGTGCAAGTTAAGAGAACTAAAGAAACTATAGGTAAGGGTTTCACACAATCACAACCACACGTGCACACTTCACTGTTTTCAACGCTTGTCTATTAAAACCATTGTTTTAATATTTCCATTCTTTATTGAATACATCTGAGAACTGATGGCTAAATATGAGAACTAAGTTTCTTAGCCACGGGTAATTAAAATGTGGTTTACTCAGTCTGTTAAGTTTGTGTTGACTGGATAGAGAGACAAAAATGCCATCCAGTTAGCATCCCAAGAAATCTGACATTTTTTTCTGACATCTTTTTTTATTTTTCTTTTTTTTATCAAAGCTTTGCTTATTTTTTACTGTTGATTCCAAATATCAGGTCATATTAAAGGAGATTCAGCTGCTGTCCTGTAAAGTGAGCTTGTTGAAGAGGTATTCCCCTATGCCATTCTGGGGCAACCCCAGGCGCTTCAGGTTGGTGAGATGGTCCCCCAGCCCCTTGATGGTCTTCACTTGCTCCTCCAGGTATTCAGACTCCAAGAAGGCACAGAGCTTTTGAGGAGGGGGAGCGGGGAGGAAAGAAGGGTAAATATTTGTGATTACCAAAATCCAAGTTCCCCTTGCAGATCATCAAGATAAACTGATACCTCCATTTCTGGATCAACTCTTATGATTTATTGAGGGAACTAGATTTAGAATTGGGTACAGCTCCGCTACTCTGATCATCTTCCAAATCAATATCAAAGTTTAAAGTAAACCCCTGAAACTCTTACATTTTCGCATAGGCAGTATTTTAAGGGACATGTTAAGCCCCAACCTTAGTTAGGATCTACAACTCATGACTCCATAATTGAAGCACATTATGGTTTGCATTTGTGGACCAGCCATAATCTATGTGGCTTGTTTTGAAGATGTCTTTTAGATTTTATAGCATAAAGCGGGAGGCCAGACTCCAAGCATTTGTATCACTGTTTCCTCACACACCTCACATTCTCACACTTAAGCTTTTAAACTTCATATTTGAAAACTCATTCCAAAGAGATATTGCTATCTTTGTTCTTGGCCTTAATTTTTTACACTGATTGTGCATAATCTCTTGCATCCAACATGGATCCTACTGTAACTTTTAAAACTGTTTATAGTTAGGGTTACTCTATTTTTTCCACTTTACGTCATAACTGCAGCCTTTTCATCTCTTGCCTTTTGGGATCGTAGGACAAAAAAAATGACTGCTTTTACCCACTTAAGCCTTCCCTGCTTTTTTTTTTTTTTTTTAAATCCATCACATCCTCAAGTTCTTCCAGGGCTGATGTTTGGAAGAGAGAAGTCCTCTTGTGCTCCTTCATGTAATACAGTGTGAATAAGAATGGTTGGATCACTTATTTCCCAAAGCTATCCTCAACCCTGTAGAGCTGCAAAATAGACAGCTCAGGGGTGGCATGGAGTCACCAGCATCTTTTTCTGCAGTTCCTAAAGGTGTTCACCTTTCTCCCCATTTCTGCATGTTTTGAAGTTTAAGGGCTAAAAAGCAAAATAAGTGACTTAAGACTTGCAGTAATCTAAGGCATCTGTTTACCCCCCGTAAAACCCACAAAACCCTTAAAGATAAAGTCCAGCCTCTACTTTTAGAGGTCACTTTTGACCAGTAAGTTAAGTCTAGTATTGGTACTGGTACAAAACCCCCAGTCTTGTTATAGATGAAGCATCACTTTGTCATTCCAGTGTTGCTAAAGATGTGGGCTGGAGGAAGTCTAAGCAAAGGAATCTTGCTTAGTTATAGTTACTGCATATTGTTATATTGGCTTCCTGATCCTAGAAGGCAGCATTCAGAAACTCCTGCTATAAAGACTCACATGGGGATCTTCTTTCTCCTTGGCCAGTTTGTGGAGTTGCAACAGGGATTGGTTCACATTCTTTTCCAGTTGTAGGGCTTTCTGTAGGACATCCAAGCTATTTCCCCAGTCATCTTGCTCTGGCTTCTGCAGAATTGTAAAGTATATTTGGATAACCAAGCTTCAAGATAGGTTTAATGTCTGTGTTTAAAAGCTTTCAGACACCTGTCGGCTTTCTATCCACATCCTCTCAACCCAGGAAATGAGTGGAAAAACAAAGAGCATACAGTAGCTTGTTCACTCTCAGAAATTATTAACCAGACAGTACTGAAAAGCACAGGACCATATGGAAATACAATAAAACTTATAGTCAATAGAGTCATCCACCATTGGCTAGATCACATACTATACTAAATTATGGCTTAGTTTAATCACAGTTTGATGAACAAGCCATAGTCTAGGTACATATTAGGTGGGTTGTGGTTTGCAAATCACAATTTCTAGCTTTCCACATATTGTTAATCCAGTGTTGAGCAACCTTCTGTTTTGGAAGCTTTTTGTAGCTCTCTCCCAGTAAAACTGGGAGTAGGATTTGAGTTAGGAAACAGCATAAAACTCACAGAATATGCTCTAAAGCAAATTTAAGTCTTGTTTTTTTTTAAAAAAAAATAATACACCCAATCTCCCTTCCATAAAATATCAGCTGTGCTCAAAGGATGGGACCCCCTTGGAATCAGAGGCCCACCCATTACAACCTTCTTCCCTAAATAATGGTCCTTTCTACCAAACGTTTGCCCCCAGCTATGCTAAGCTAAACTGTCACATCTTAGCAGGAAGCATGAACCAAGATGGACTCACAGTTCCTTCATCATCTACAACCCTGAACTACAGACCCTTTTCTTGTAGCAACCTATCCTCACCTTGATGTCCTGTAGGACCGCTCGACCTCCCCTTTTGTTCTGGTATTTTAAAAACTTCTCTGCTTGCTCCCAGGCTTTCTGTGATTGTTTTCTCAGGAACTCAGCAACATGACACAGGGCTACATCATCACGGTCAAAATGGCAAGCCTACCAGAGTGGGGGGGAAAAGCCATTTGCTATTGTTAGAGCAGTGTGAGGTGTCTGAAGCCAGCAGTTTTTGATCACAAGGTTCCATCAAAGGCTTAAACAGCTAAATTCAGTTCTACTGCTGGGCTCAGACCTGAGCAAACCAAAGATATTTTTACCTTGTGAACAAGACCTTCTGTTCCTTTCCAGCATTTGAAACACTGAGCCCTATGCTTGCTTTTAGCAGGAGCAAACTTCAAAATACATTCAAGCCAAGAGCAATCTGTAGCTGAGACACTCATGAGTTGAGCCTGATACATCCATGCAGTTCTCTTGGTGGTGTTATGGAGATTTACTATTGTCCTTTTCCGGGATATTTCTTGACTTCCCTACGTAGCCTACAGTTTTCTATCCAGGCTTAACTCTGATTAATCCCTAAGCCTGAAGAAGAGCAGCTAAAATTTGCTGAAACCTTTAACAAGTGTCTTGTTAGAGATGAAGCAAAGGCAGCATTAGACCTTCAGAGTTCAAACAGAAAGTAGACCTTTGGCCAGTTTGAAGGCCTACCAGTTCCCATCACAATCCCCAGGAAGTCATTAAACTAAGATTTCCAAAGAGAAGCATGAGATCCAGATCACAGCCCCTGTTTGTGAAGAATACCAATTCTTTTCATGGGGAGGGTCAGCTGGTTTATCGGTGAGAGAATTAAAAGCAAAGATTTCCCAACCTTGCCATTGAAAGCATTTAAACTTCATGGAAAGCATGGTCTGTAACAAAGCATCCATTTCCTAGTAGTAAAGCCAAGGAGGCTCTGCTTTGTTCTCTCTTCTAGTTGTCAAACATCACCCAATTCTGGCTTTTTTCTGGATAGGTGGGCACATGTCCAAACCAAGCACTGAACTGCAACTTACCCATCTCAGAGTGCCTCTAAAATCTATGTGGGACCAGCACGTCCCTAGATAAAAATGATGTTTGCAGTTGATGTTTCGTAGTATACTAGCTTTCTATTTGTAGAGCCAGTTTGGTGTAGTGGTTAAAGGCACCAGGTTAGAATCCGGGAGATTGTGAGTTCTAGTCCTGCCTTATTCACAAAGCGGGCTTGGTAAATGTGGACCAGTCCCTCTCTCTCAACCCTAGGAAGGGGGCAAGATCAAGCCACTCTCAAAAACATTGCCAAGAAAACTGTGGGGACTTGTCCAAGCAGTCACCAGGAGTCAAGACTGACTTGAAAGTGCACATGTGCACACACACACACAAAGCGTTCTATTTAATTTTGAGAACATGTAGAAATATGAAGTCAAATGGGGCATGGAACATAAGCACCAAGGAAACCATGAGGAGATCAAGATTGTACAGTAATTTTTTTTTTTTTTTTTTGGTGAAAGAGTAGAGTCTGTGTACTCTAAACCCAAAGACATTTTTTTTTCTTGCAAGGAAATGGTAGTCCCATTAAACATTAATTCAGCCAAAATAATTCTGTCTGTGACTTCTACAGAGAATCATTTATTTAGCACTTCTGAATTGTCCAAAGGTTCAGGTTTTCACTACATCTCTGGAGTGTTTACTTTTAACATAATCTATGTAACTGCAACTATTTTATTATCTAAGATCCTTCTCATTAGTGGCATCTTATACCACTCTTATTCAACCCTATTTGGGTCAAACAGCATTCTGTACCTACTCCAGATTGCAGCTCACTTGTATAACAGATATACAAGCTTGCATAAGAAGCATGCAAACATGAGTTCCTAACTTGTGATGGAATGGAATTCTGAAGGCCAGGCTCAGGGAGATAAGCGTGTTCTTAGTTCACCTCAGGAGCATGGGAAGTTCAAGAGGATGAGGCTGGCACCTCCCTGAGGAATTCACGGTGTTG